GGTGGGCACCTGTAGTCCCAGCTACTCAGGAAGCTGAGGCAGGAAAATGGCGTTAACCCAGGAGGCAGAGCTTGCAGTAAGCCGAGATTGCGCCACTGCACTCCAGCCTGGGAAATAGTGCGAGACTTCATCTCAAAAAAAAAAAAATGGGGGACCTGGGCACAGTGGCTCATGCCTGTAATCCCGGCACTTCAGGAGGCCAAGGTGGGAGGATTGCTTGAGCCCAGGAGTTCGAGGCCAACCTGGGCAACATGGCGAAACCCCCTCTCTACAAAAAATACAAAAATTAGCTGGGCATGACGGTGCACACGCAGCTACTTGTGAGGCTGTGGTGGGAGGATCACTTGAACCCCAGTGGCGGAGGTTGCAGTGAGCCGAGATCGTACCACATCACTCCAGCCTGGGCAACAAAGTGAGACCCTGTCTCAAAAAAAAATTAAAAAAAGACTGGGCGCATTGGCTCATAGTTGTAGTCCCAGCATTCTGGAAGGCTGAAGCAGGTGGATAACTTGAGGCCAAGAGTTCGAGACCAGCCTGGGCAACACGGCGAAACCCTGTGTCTACTAAAAATACAAAAATCAGCTGGGCGTGGTGGCACACTCCTATAATCCCACTTACTCGGGAGGCTGAGGCACGAAAATCACTTGAACCCAGGAGGCAGAGGTTGCAGTGAGCTGAGATCACACCACTGCACTCCAGCCCAAGCGACAGCAAGACTCTGTCTCAAAAACAAAAAAACGAAAAGAAACCATCAGTCTACCAGTCTACACGCCTGGCACTTTGGCTGAGGGCCCAGTGAGCCAGGGGTGTTGTGCAAGGCACAGGGCACAGCCCAGGGGAAGTTTTCCTTCCCTCTAATACTCTTGCTCTCTCCTGCAGCCTGTACTGCGAGAAGCGGATCCTGGAGGCTGTGGGCCGCACAGGGCATCCCTTCCTGCTCTCCCTCCTTGCCTGCTTCCAGACCTCCAGCCATGCCTGCTTTGTGACTGAGTTTGTGCCTGGTGGCGACCTCATGATGCAGATCCACGAGGATGTCTTCCCAGAGCCCCAGGCCCGGTGGGTTCCATCCCTCCTGCCTGCCTCTTCCAGCAAACTTTACCTGGTTCCCTACACCCACTCTCTACATCCAGCTTTCCCCAAGTGCCCAACAGCAGAGGAGCAGGAGTCAGAGGCCTTGGTTTACACCCTGGCACCAACTGACAGCATTTATGACCCTGGGCATCAGCTTATGAAGCTGTGCATTAGGTTTTTTTTTTGGAGATGGAGTTTCGCTCTTATTGCCCAGGCTGGAGTGCAGTGGCACGATCTCGGCTCACTGCAACCTCTGCCTCCCTGGTTCAAGCGATTCTCCTGCCTCAGCCTCTCAAGTAGCTGGGATTATAGGCATTGGCCACCACACCTGTCTAGTTTTGTATTTTTAGTAGAGATGGGGTTTCTCCATGTTAGTCAGGCTGGTCTGTAACTCCTGACCTCAAGTGATCTGCCCATCTCGGCCTCCCAAAGTGCTGAAATTACAGGCGTGAGTCACCACACCTGGCGAATCTAAGACCTTAATTTGAAAAATAGGCACGATTGGCCAGCCGCCTGTAATCCCAGCACTTTGGGAAGCTGAGGCGGGTGGATCACCTGAGGTCAGGAGTTCATGACCAGCCTGACCAACTTGGTAAAATCTTGTCTCTACTGAAAATACAAAAAATAGCTGGGCATGGTGACACGCACCTGTAATCCCAACTACTCGAGAGGCTGAGGCAGGAGAATCACTTGAATCCAGGAGGCGGAGGTTGCAGTGAGCTGAGATCCCGCCACTTTACTCCAGTCTGGCGATGGCAAGACTCTGTCTAAAAAAAAAAAAAAAAAAAAAGGCCAGGTGCGGTGGCTCACGCCTGTAATCCCAGCACTTTGGGAGGTCGAGGCAGGTAGATCATGAGGTCAAGAGATCGAGACCATTCTGGACAACATAGTGAAACCCCATCTCTACGAAAACTAAAAAAACAAACAAACAAAAAAAACAATAGCTGGGTGTGGTGGCACGTGCCTGTAATCCTAGCTACTGGTGAGCCGAGATTGTGCCACTGCACTCCAGCCTGGGTGACAGAGCAAGACTCCCTCTCAAAATAAAAAATAAAAAATAGGCATGATGAGTATCAACTGCAGGGACTAACACTTGGTCCCTGGCACCATTTAAGGGCCCAGGAAGCTGGAAATCGAAGTGACCTTGGGACTGTTAGAGCACCCCCGCTCTCAGCATGATGCTTGTCCCAGTCTCACTCATCTCTGACTGGCCGGGATATCCAGGATCCCCCAGCCATGGCCATCCTGGTGCCTCCCTGCCCTGCCTCCCTGGTCTTGGGCCTGAGTTCTCCCATAACCACCCCTGCAGCTTCTACGTGGCTTGTGTTGTCCTGGGGCTGCAGTTCTTACATGAGAAGAAGATCATTTACAGGTGACTTTTGTCCCAGGGATGCCTGGGGGTGGGGGTGGGGTGGGTGAGGACACAGATGCTGCCTCCCTCCTGCCTGGGCTGCTCCAGGGGCGGTTGGTTTCCTGGGTCTAAGCCCCCCTCATTCCCTTTGATCTGCACCCTTGCCCTCAGGGACCTGAAGTTGGATAACCTTCTGTTGGATGCCCAGGGATTCCTGAAGATCGCAGACTTTGGACTCTGCAAGGAAGGTGGGGGCTGCCCATTGGGATTCATATCTCCAGCCTTGTTTACCCAGCCTGGCCAATAGGATGATGGGCACATGGCATCTCCCAGGAAATCTCACCCACGGATGCCCTGGTTCTGCCACTCCAGACCTCATTCCAGGGGACAGCTGGGCACACTGGCCCTTTCTTCCCAGTCCTAGAGACTCATACAGAGCCCCAGCCTGCACCTGGCCCGAGGGAGAGCCTATGGTCAGGGCTGGGAGAGGAGACTGAATTCTGCCTTTTGTTTTCTTCTTTCTTTATTTTTTATCTTTTTTTTTTTTTTTTGAGTGAGACGGAGTCTTGCTGTGCCACCCAGGCTGGAGCGCAGTGGCGTAATCTCGGCTCACTGCAACCTCTGCCTACTGGGTTCAAGCAATTCTCCTGCCTCAGCCTCCCGAGTAGCTGGGACTACAGGCATGTGCCATCGGCTAATTTTTGTATTTTTAGGAGACGGGGTTTCACCGTGTGACTACAGGCATGTGCCATCACGCCCGGCTAATTTTTGTATTTTTTTAGGAGAGACGGGGTTTCACCGTGTTAGCCAGGATGGTCTCGATCTCCTGACCTCATGATCCGCCCACCTCAACCTCCCAAAGTGCTGAGATTACAGGTGTGAGCCACTACGCCTGGCTTCTTTTTTTTTTTTTTTTTGAGACGGAGTCTTGCCCTGTTCCCCAGGCTGGAGTGCAGTGGCACGATCTCAGCTCATTGCCACCTCTGCCTCCTGGGTTCAAGAGATTCTCCTGCCTCAGCTTTCCAAGTAGCTGCAATTATAGGCGCATGCCACCACGCCCCAGCTTATTTTTTGTATCTTTAGTAGAGACGGGGTTTTACCGTGTTGGCCAGGCTGATCTCGAACTCCTGACCTCGTGATCTGCCCGCCTCGGCCTCCCAAAGTGCTGGGATTACAGGTGTGAGCCACTGTGCCCGGCCGAGTTCTGCCTTCTGTGACCTTAGCCTGTGAGCTTGGCTCCGCATGCAGTCAAATGGCGTCATAACCGTTCCCACCTCCTTGGGTACAGGGCAGGGCTTGGCACAGGCTGAGCTCCCTGGCATCATAAGGCTTGGCTGTTGAGGTTATTGTGAATAGGCCACACCAATCTGCTTTTGGTGTACCTGTTGATTTGTAGGGATCGGCTTCGGGGACCGGACTAGCACCTTCTGCGGCACCCCGGAGTTCCTGGCTCCCGAGGTGCTGACCCAGGAGGCGTACACACGGGCTGTGGACTGGTGGGGGCTGGGCGTGCTGCTCTATGAGATGCTGGTGGGTGAGGTGAGTGCTGGAGTGTGCTGTCTGGGCCTCTGGGTTGGAGTGGGGTGGCCCGTGCATCCTGCTGAGCCCCTATCTCCACAGTGCCCTTTCCCAGGGGACACGGAGGAAGAGGTGTTTGACTGTATCGTTAACATGGACGCTCCCTACCCCGGCTTTCTGTCGGTGCAAGGGCTTGAGCTCATTCAGAAGGTAAGCACTGCAGGGTCTGGGTCTGGGATGGATGGCCGCTCAAGGCCCATGTGCCTTCTGTCATGGGACAGCAGACCCCCTGCCACCCATCCGTAGAGCGCTCTGGGCCAGTGTGCTTGGGGCCTGTGATGATGGCAGTGCCTGGGGCTGAATGCCCTAAGTGAGCGCCTGTCCTGTTGCCCAGCTCCTCCAGAAGTGCCCGGAGAAGCGCCTCGGGGCGGGTGAGCAGGATGCCGAGGAGATCAAGGTCCAGCCGTTCTTCAGGGTGAGTGGCTGGGGTGGCGGTGGTCCCCTGTGCCTGGCAGGGTAGGTGACACAGAGTGACTCATGGAGCTGCTGTTGCTGCCATCTCAGGCGCCTCTCCTTTTCCCCCAGACCACCAACTGGCAAGCCCTGCTCGCCCGCACCGTCCAGCCCCCCTTCGTGCCCACCCTCTGTGGCCCCGCGGACCTGCGCTACTTTGAGGGCGAGTTCACAGGGCTGCCGCCTGCCCTGACCCCACCCGCACCCCACAGCCTCCTCACGGCCCGCCAACAGGCCGCCTTCCGGGACTTCGACTTTGTGTCAGAGCGATTCCTGGAGCCCTGAGGGCGTCTCCTGGCACCTCTGTCCCCTTCCCCCACAGACTGCTAGAGCCTCTGCTTGCCCACCTGTGTGCCCTGCCAGGAGGTCCAGGCCTTGCCCGGTACTTATGAGCCCTCGGGACTCGAGGTGGCAGCCATGGGGCCACTGTTGTGGGCTTTGCTCAGTGTCACTGGGCAAAGTGTGTCCCCTCCCCCTCCAGTTCGCCCTCCTCTACCTCCCAGCGAGACCTGGCCCAGAAAGGGTGCCGCGGCAAGGAGTGATGTGGTTTGTCTTTTTAAGACTGGACTTGCTTTATAGACTATTAAATTTGTAAAAGTGTGCACTGGCAGTCGCCTGGGTGGGGCTGGGGTGGAGCCCGGGGTCTGCTTGGGCCTGAGCTGCCCACAGGTCCTTTTTTCCCTTTCTTCCTTGGAAGGCAGAACTGCCCACTGAGGCAGGGATCTGTCTGTCTTGAAGTTCAGTTCTGGGGCCTGGGAGGAGTGGGCAGGAGTGAGCGGCCCCAGGCCCTCCGAGGGCTGACCCTAGCTGGAGACAGGTCCCCTGGTTTTCAGGCACAAGATAGTAGCCCAGCCTCCAGCAACCCTAAACAGCTGGGTTGCTGCCCTCCTCCTCCTCCTCAGCCCAAAGGGTCTCCCAGGACCCCGAGGGCCATCCACAGAAGAAGTGGGCCAGGTTGCGGGTCAGGCCTCGGTCGAAGGGGTTGCCGGCGCGCTGGCGGAGATAGGCGATGCGGTGTGAGGAGATGAATTCCCAGGTGGTGGTGTTGCTGGCCACCAGGTAGAGGTGCGAGGCGAGGAGCAGGCTGGCCACCAACGAGAGTAGGGACAGCAGCAGGAAGGTGGCGAACAGGAGCCCACTGGATCGAAGCCACAGTCCCCAGGGCTGGAAGAACTGGAGGCCTGACCTGCAGTGCAGGGGACAGGGGCCTGGTGCTGGGGGAGGGCAGAGGAGCCCTTCCCTCCCTGTGCTGGATCCCTGGGAGTCCTGGCTCTGTCCACCCCTGTGGGAGCATACATCCCACCCTCCCCCTATGCCCGGGCAGCAGCACCCACCATGCCAGGTACAGGCCCCAGAGAAGCACCACCAGCTGCAGTGCCAGGTAGACCACAAAGAGGGGGTGGTTGCGCTCCCCCACACAGTTCTCCATCCAGGGGCAGTGGTGGTCGTAGCGGCGGACGCAACGGCGGCACTCACGGCAGTGCCGAGCCCTCAGGGGCTGCTGTGGGCATGGAGGAGAGTGGAGGCTCAGTGCCAGCCCTGCTGTGAGCCCACCACTGAGGGGAGGAATCAGGGCCTGATGATGGAAGGCCTTCTTGGAGGAGGGGTGAGGCCCAGGCACTGGGGCAGGAGGAGGTCGAGGAGTCTCAGCTTTGGCCCAGCCTCTCCCAGGTGAGTGTCCCTGCATCACTCACCAGCACCAGGCAGTATCTGCAGCGCCGAAGAGGGATGGCTGGAGGAACCATGGCTGTCTGCTCCTCTTTGAGCTCCTCCTGGAATGAGGGGTGGGGTATAAGACAGGATCCCCTTGGGAGACAGGTGGCATTGGCGGGCAGCTCCCCTAGGGGCCGGCTTAGCTCTGGTTGTGGAGTTTAGGACCCATCCCGTGCAGAATGGAGGTGTGGGGTGCGGCGGAGCAGCGTGGACTGAGGGTGGCTGTGTGATGTTTGCAAGTCTCTTCCTTCTCTGGGCCCCAGCAGTTTCCTCACCACTGTAGGATAGGGCTCTAGGGCTGGCAAGAGGATTCACTGAGCTGCCCCTACAAGAGCCTGCAGCACAGAGCCTGGCATGGAGACTGGTGCTGGCTGTTGAGTCCTTGTTGGTGAGAGTAGGGGCCCCTGGTTACCTGAGGCTGGGGCTGCACATTCACGTAGCCGGGGTCCATGAGTGACACAGCGAGGTAGAGCAGCAGGGAGCCCAGCACCAGGAGCAGGAAGGTGAGGGGCAGGAGCAGCTCGCCCTGCTCCTCCCATTGCCGAAGCTCTGGAGAGGCCGGGAGAGCACAGTGAGGCTGGGCCGAGTAGAACAGGAGTGGGTGGGGCTGGGTTGCAGTTGGAGGTGGGGAAGTGTGTTCCTGGCCCACAAAGACCTGGAAATGTTGGTTCCATGAGTGGTTGTGTGTGGCCAGCAGTTCATCTGAACTTTATCTGGAGGGTCAGAGGGAACCATGGAAGGTTATAAGGCCAGATCTGTTTTGGAAAACCTCATCGCTAGGGAAATGGATCAGGGGAAGCCTAGGGGCAGAGAATCTGGCCAGGAGGAAGAAGAGGGGAGCTGCAAAGGCCTGGCAGGAAGTGAGAGAGGAAAGAATGGACAGAGGGGGCTGCTGGGTGAAGGGAGCCAGACCTGACTAGATGTGGGACAGAAGGAGGAGGGGTCCAGCATCTCTGGCTCTGCAATGGTGAGAGACTGGCCAGGTCTGAAATGCCTGAGAGAGAGATGGGAGGGAGGGTGCAGCTGGCAGGCTCAGATGTTGCTGAGGGGCATAAGAAAGGGTCTAGTGGCTTCAGCCCATGGTGGTGACAGGATTTTGGGGAGGTAGGGTGCAGGGCAAGGAATGAGGGGGCATGAGACCACCAGACAGCAGAGTGTAGACAAATCCCATGTCCCTTGGTTGTAAGGGGGAGCAGAGAAGAAAGGGTGGCTTTTGAGGGCGGTCATTTTCTGATAGGGAGACCTGAGCAAGTTTTTAGGCTAAAGGGTGAAGGTGGTGGAGGAGGTCTGAGGTCTTGGGAGGAAAACCAGCAGGGGCCCCAGTCCAGAAACTGAGGCTGGACCACCATGGAAGGAGGGCTGGGGGCTGCTGTGGGTGACAGTGAGGGAGGCTGCCCGTGGCAGGTGAGGTGCTGGGTAGGGGGCTACTGAGGGGAATGAGGGAAATGGAGGTGGGTAGGTGGGTGAATCTTTGGTAAAATGGGAGACAGGCCTCACCCCGTGGGGTGTTCTCTTGCCTGAGGGGTTGCCTGGACTTGGGCAGCTAGTGGCCATGGGGGTGTGGAGGGTGTGGGCGTGGACACAATGCCAATCCTTGCATCTAGTTGAGCCTCCTAATCGTAAGGATGGGAAGATTTGGGGTCAGTTCCTGGGAAGGAACTGGTGGGTCCCAGGATCAAGGGACATGGGGCTCAAGTCGGTCCTTGGATCTGGTGGGCACCGGCTGGGTCCTGGGATGGACAGGGCATTTGGCAATGATCAGGAAGATGCTGGGATTAATCAGGAATCAACGGGGTATCAGGCGGAGAGCGGGTGGCTATTGGAATGATAGATGGGGAGGGGTTTCAGGAGCTGGCAGAGATCGGGCCAATCCCAGGATCTCCATGGATTAGGCGGGAGACCCAGTGAGACCCGAAAGTCGGGGGAACCACGCGGGATCGGGTGGGTCCGGGGTCGCTCGGGGTCCGGCTCACCGGTATCGTGCAGGAAGAGCACCAGCGTGATCCCCCAGGTCAGCACGGTGTGCCCGGTCCGCACCAGGACCCCAGGGCTGAGGAGCGCCCAGGGGGCCATCGCCTCGGCCCGGGGCCCCACCCGGAAGAAGCGCCCAGAAGGGCGGGCCCTCCGAGGGAGGGGAACGCGGTCGCCCGGGGATTGGTGGATCTGGGCGCTGGGCAGGGCCGGACTGGATCAGGGAGTCTGCTTATTGGATGGCCGCTGCGGCCGAGTGGACCCTCAAGCCAACAGGTGCCTGAAGAGGCTGAGGGCGGGGCCGGCGCGCGCGCAGCTGGTAACTCCCCCAACTCCAGCCCCACCCGCCAGGTAACTTTTGAAAGCCCAGGCGCGCGCGCGCACCTCCCCCGCGCTCCCCCGTGCCCGCCCTCGCAGCCTCGCGCATGCGCGTAGCTCCCTGGGCGCTTAAAAGATCCAGCGGTTTGCTGTGAGTCCGAGAGGCAAAATTGTGCCCATTTCGAAGATGTGATGACTAAGGTCTCCAGAGGGCCAGGGCTCGCTCAAGGTTGGTCTGTGGTGACAGCTTTACCTCCTTGCTATTTATTCTCAGATATTGCAAACGGAGGAGAGAAAAGTGGAGGTATGTGGTGCACATTCTGACTACGGGTGATCCAACTTAGGCGGGAGTCAGAAATCCCAGCACTGCCCCTTCCTACCTGTGTGACCCTGGGCGAGTCACTGAGCCCCTCTGAGCTGTTTTCTGTCTCTATAAGGGGGATGACAATAGTGTCTTAAGGTGTTTGGGAGGATTAAATAATGGAAGCGCCTTGTCTAGCACGGGGCTGTCTTGCCTCTCCTGCTGTGAGCCACCACCTACAGGCGGACTTTCCCCGCCAGAGGCTTCAGGCTGTCCTCCTTCCCTGTGTCCGCAGGGCCTTCCCCACTCAGCCCTGCCTTTCCACAGCACCTCCCACTGATACCAGCATCCTCCTCTGCCTCCATCTGATTGGCCCCATCCCAGCTCCTCCAGGATACTCCTCTGACATCTGTTGTTTTTCTCAGCTCAACATCCTTTTTTTGATTGGGGAATCGACTTCCCATCCCATGTGATTGGAGGGACTGCCCCTCACCCCATAGGATGGCCAGCGGCAGGCTGTGGGCGTTCGACTCTGCAGAACCAATCACAGGCCTTCCATGAGATTACTGTCTAGATGCTGAGAGGAAGGGGCATTCTTTTGGATCTCAAGCCTAAGGAATGGGATATAAGGCAACCGAGCGCCATCTTTACGCTGTGCGGAGAGGGCCTACTCCTGTCTGTGGCTGGAGAAAATGAGACCAACTTATAAAGACACATAGAGATGGATAAGCAGCACTAAAGGAGGGAGGGAGAGATGGTCTGAACAATATTGTCTGAGCCCTCCAGATTCAGCTGTCCCTGAAGCTGATACTAACTGCATCCCCTGGTTGCAAGTCAATTAATTCCCACTTTTTTTTTTTTTTTTTTTTTTCCCAGACAGAGCCTCACTCTGTTGCCTAGGCTGGAGTGCAGTGGCACGATCTGGGCTCACTGCAAACTCCGCCTCCCAGGTTCAAGCGAGTCTCCTGCCTCAGCCTCCCAAGTAGCTGGGACTACAGGCGCCCGCCACCACGCCCGGCTAATTTTCTGTATTTTTAGTAGAGACGGGGTTTCACCGAGTTAGCCAGGATGGTCTCGATCTCCTGACCTCGTGATCCACCCACCTTGGCCTCCCAAAGTGCTGGGATTACAGGCGTGAGCCACCGCACCCGGCCTGTTTTCTGCTTTCTTGAGATGGGGTCTCACTATGTTGCCCAGGATGGCCTCAAACTCCTGAGCTGAGGCAATCTTCCCCCTCAGCCTCCAGAGTAGTTGGGACTGCAGGCGTGCACGACCATGTCTGGCTTAAAGGGAGAATGAGGGAGTGGAGGGAAATGGTGAGGGCTTCAGTAGAGTAAGGGAAATGAAAAATTCCGAAGGGTTGGTCATGGTAAATGTAATTAGGAGCTCTGTGTGCTTGCTGGCAATTGTGAAAGTTAGGACTTTGTTCTTCCGCAGAGACTAGGAGACAGAGGCTCCAATCTTCCTGATATTACACTTCAATGGAATGGCCTTCAGGTCCTTGAAAAAACACTCCTGAATTGTGAGATACACACACATCTCAAATGGACAGAGGAAGGATCACAATTTTAAGTTCCCATCCCACCACACATTGTCCTTGAAAACACTCCCTGAATTCGTAGAGATACACACACATCTCAATGGAACAGAGGAAGGATCACAATTTTAAGTTCCCATCCCACCACACATTTTTTTTTTTTTGAGATGGAGTTTCACCTTGTTGCCCAGGCTGGAGTGCAATGGCACGATCTTGGTTCACTGCAAACTCTGCCTCCCAGGTTCAAGCGATCCTCCTGCCTCAGCCTCCCAAGTAGCTGAGGCATGTGCCACCACGCCTGGCTAATTTTGTATTTTTAGTAGAAACAGGGATTCTCCATGTTGGTCAGGCTGGTCTCGAACTCCCGACCTCAAGTGATCTGCCCGCCTTGGCCCCCCAGAGTGCTGGGATTGCAGGTGTGAGCCACTGCTTTTTTTTTTTTTTTTTTTTTTGAGACAGTTTCATACTTTCTGCCTGGTGTGATCTCGGCTCACTGCAAACTCCGCCTCTTGGGTTCAAGCGATTCTCCTGCCTTAGCCTCCCAAGTAGCTGGGATTACAGGCATGCGCCACCATGCCTGGCTAATTTTTTTTAATTCTTAGTAGAGACAGGATTTCACCATGTTGGCCAGGGTACCCTTGAACTCCTTGTGATCCGCCTGCCTCGGCCTCCCAAAGTGCTGGGATTACAGGCGTGAGCCACTGCGCCCGGCCAGAGGTCACGTTTCTTAGGGAGACTCAGTAAAATGACTTTATGGTTTAGACATCAGTCTGCTTTTGGAGAGGGAGGTCATGTTTGAAGGTGCTGAGTGGCAAAATATAGTTTCTTTTTTTTTCTCTCCAACTTTCATTTTAAGCTCAGGGGTACATGTGTAGGATGTGCAGGCTTGTTACATAGGTAAACGTGTGCCACGGTGGTTTGCTGCACAGCTCATCCTGTCACCAAGGTGTTTTGTTTTGTTTTTGAAATGGAGTCTTGCTCTGTCACCTGGGCTAGAGTGCAATGGCACGATCTCAGCTCACTGCAAACTCTGCCTCCTGGGTTCAAGCAATTCTCCTGCCTCAGCCTCCTGAGTAGCTGGGATTACAGGTGCGCGCCACCACACCCAGCTAATTTTTGTGTTTTTAGTAGAGACGGGGTTTCACCATTTTGGCCAGGCTAGTCTCAAACTCCTGACCTCAAGGGATCCACCCACCCTGGCCTCCCAAAGTCCTGAGATTACAGGCATGAGCCACTGCACCCAGCCTGGCCACAAGTTTTTAAAAGGAGAGCCCTCAATGTGCCAGGTTTTGTGCTGGGCTACAGCAGAGCCTTGATGTGGCTTGCTGTTCACAGTCCAATGGGAGAGACGAGATAAAGCAACTTCAGCCCCGTGAGATAAGTAGATGCTGTGATGGGATGAGCAGGAACTAGAGTGTTCCTGACACAGGAAATGGCAGGTACCAGGCCAAGGAGCTAGAGGAGGAGCACCTGGCACCTCTGAGGACCTTGTTTTCCCTCCTTTACTGTGGCAACCTTGAGGAAGTAAGTCATTTCAGGCCAGGTATGGTGGCATATGCCTGTAATCTCAACACTGTGGGAGGCTGAAGTGGGAAGACTGCTTGAGCCTGGGAGTTTGAGACCAGACCAGGCAACACAGTGAGACCCCATTTCTACAAAAAAACCCACAAAAATTAGAAGTGCATGGGGTGCACATTTGTTGTCCCAGCTACTTGGGAGGCTGAGGTGCAAGGATTGCTTGAGCCCAGGAGATCGAGGCTGCAGTGAGCTGTGATCGTGCCATTGCAGTCAGCCTGGGCAACAGTGAGACCTTGTCTCAAAAAAATAAAAAATAAAGTCGCTTCACCTCTCTGAGCCTCAGTGTCCTTGTCTGTAAAATGGATTATTGCCAGGGTTCTGAGGAAGCGGAAGGTACATGAAGCACTTAGCCCGGGGCCTGGCACACAGATGAAGGTTCAGCAGTGTTGGCTGCTGCTGGCAGGCACTTCCCTCATTCCCTCCGAGGCACCGACGACCCACCAGGGTTCTGAGGCAAAGTACTCGAGGCCCTTCCTGCCCAGGTCCTGTGGGTGGCCAGTGGCAGGGGGCTCTCAGTCAGGGAGAGAGAGAGGCCAGATCCAGGCCCTGCAGCAGGTGGAGAAGAGGGGACCTCGGCTTCACAGAGGCTGTGGGAGGAGTCAGTGCTCAGCTTCCAGAAACGCTTAATTGAGTCCTGATGCCCAGGCTTAAAACCTCACATAGAAGGTAAAATCCACACACTCACGGTGGTCTATAAAGGGTATGACCGTATCATTTCTTTTTTGTTTTTTTTTTGTTTTTTGTTTTTTGTTTTTTTTTTTGAGACGGAGTCTCGCTCTGTCGCCCAGGCTGGAGTGCAGTGGCCGGATCTCAGCTCACTGCAAGCTCCGCCTCCCGGGTTCACGCTATTCTCCTGCCTCAGCCTCCCGAGTAGCTGGGACTACAGGCGCCCGCCACCTCACCCGGCTAGTTTTTTGTATTTTTTTTTAGTAGAGACGGGGTTTCACCGGTTTAGCCAGGATGGTTTCGATCTTCTGACCTTGTGATCCGCCCGTCTCGGCCTCCCAAAGTGCTGGGATTACAGGCTTGAGCCACCGCGCCCGGCCTCTTTTTTGTTTTTTGAGACAGAGTCTCGCTCTGTCGCCCAGGCTGGAGTGCAGTGGTATCATCTGGGCTCACTGCAAGCTCTGCCTCCCGGGTTCACGCCATTCTCCTGCCTCAGCCTTTTGAGTAGCTGGGACTATAGGTGCCCGCCACCACGCCCGGCTAATTTTTTCGTATTTTTTAGTAGAGATGGGGTTTCACCATGTTAGCCAGGATGGTCTCGATCTCCTGACCTCGTGATACGCCCACCTGGGCCTCCCAGAGTGCTGGGATTATAGGCGTGCGCCACCGCGCCCGGCTGACCATATCATTTCTTATTCCAACCAGGCAGCTCTTGAGGATGACAAGGCACTGTCGATAGAGCTGCGGGGACCACAGG